AATTACAAACCTCTTGTAACCATCTGTTGTGTTAATATAGTTCAATTTTTAATATGAGATTAAAATGTAAATAATCGAGAAACTCAATCGATATTGTTCTAAACTATATCAAATGTATGTCTTAATTCTTCTATTTATCATTAATCCTTAAAAATAATATAAAGACAACTCATGAATATTCAATATCTCGAAGACATCGATAATCATGATTAAATTTTCTCATAATGATTGCTTCCTATCAAGGATGCACATCAGAGCATCAACCAGGCCACTAGGGCTGCCTGCCTGCCTGCCTGTGACAGACACAGACCGTGATCTTGAGTCCTGGCCTGTCTCTATTCTTTATATGTATGATTTTATTGTCGATATAAACATTTTTTTAATTGAAAGTGGCGCTAATTAGGGCTGTCACTTTAACTTTAAATTGACCATAAAGTGGAGAGTTTAAAGTTGTTTAAGGTCACGTTTAAATGCTTTTTTGGCGTTTTACCTGTTGCAGAGAGTCTCATAAGCATGGCTAAATACGTGAGTACAGTAAAAGTATTAAAAAGAAGCGTTTAAAGGCAACTTTAAACAAGTTTAAAATTTAAACTTTTCGGTTAAAGTAAAGTTAGAGTGCCTACAGGTATAAACCGTCAGTCGATGTTTGCTGAAGCCGACGGCTCACAGCCGGCGTTTTTGCTAGAGCCGACGTATTTTCCAGCTGACGACTTACACCTCTAAAAGTGCCACCCCTAGCGCTAATAATCAGATGAAGTATAGAATAATGATATTTAAAAAGGAACATAGAAGATATTCACAAAATACCAAACCCATTACCTTTTTGGAAGCATTATCAACAGAAGTTTCCATATTTATCATTACTTGCTCGTCATCTATTTTCGATACCTGTAACCTCCACAGCTGTAGAAAGATCTTTTTCGGCTGCTGGACTAGTTGTAACAGAACGTCGTTCTACTTTGGATCCTCAAACTTTAAATGATATTCTCTTTGTGATATCCATTCAAAACATTTTTGAACAAAAGCAAAACTTTTTTTCTTAATGTTATGCCATGCTGTCTCTGATGTATTCTGTTTTGTAGAAAACTTCGGTAAGTAAATGTTTAATCTAGTCATATTAAATTAATTAAACTGGTTTTCTTCATTCTCAACATTAATTGCATGTCTCTATTCTATCCTCGTAATGGTATTAGCATAAAAAACATTGCCAGGCAGGCCAGGCCAGGCCAAACAAATTAGTTGACAGGCACAGGCAGGCTTGAAATGCAAAGGCCTGTCACGGACCGGCCAGGCCTACAAAACACGGCCTGGCTGATGCTCTGATACACATAGTTAATTCACACGGGTTCATGGAAATACTTAGCGTTTCCTTCAATAAAGCAAACCACTAATTTGTTATTAAAACAAAAATTTGCGAAATCGAAAATCGTCTTATTCTACGTATATACGAATAATACTTATTCATTTTGTATGCGATATTCTATTTTCTCGATACTCGCTTTGTACTTTGCACCGCATTTCGTATTCTAGCGAAGCTTTAATATTGCTTAGTTTCTTTTATTTGTTTTATTCTTTTAGTTAACAATACAATACACAATCAAAACAAAACAAATGACCTCAACATCAACAACGAAAACTTTTTCATTATGATCGTGTGATTGGATAGGTTTTTATTTAGAAAAATTAAGAAAATCAAATAAAAAATTGTTTTAGCAACAAATTGACGTTTTGATTATACTAATTTATTAACAACATATGCATTTGGTGATGATTGTAAAAAAAACCATCATATTCTAATGGTTAAAATCTATGCGATCCTTTCATCCATTTATTGATGAAAATAATATTATTCCAGTTACTATTGAAGATATAATTACAGATTTTAATAAAAAGTTATATTTATTCATTTGGTAATAGTGAAGAATTAGAATTTGATTCATCTCCGATAATTATTCATACAACCCCAGGTCGAACATTCCGGCCACCGGATCCCGTAGGATACTCCAGGGAATATGCGGAAAAGTCACCATATCCTGCAGGAAAACACAGAAAATCGCTGGAACATGGAAGCCGTATTCCGGTCAAAAATACGGCCGGACTTTTCCGACGAATTCCTGCCAAATTCCGGTGCTTTCCGGCAGGAATTGATCGGAAATCACCAGAAAAAATCCGAAATATTTCCAACCGGACTACTGCTTCCACAAAATCAACGGAACTACCCGGAACCGGCCGTTTCCAGGCCGGACTGTTCGACCTGGGGCTGCTCATCATTTATCGAATCGATTGTCAACAAATGCCGATCAATCTTATATTAAAGGAAATCGATTACAATATTTTTTTGCTTCACTTTCCGATTCAATTATTTTCGATGATGATAATATACAAATGAAACGAAATTTCAACAAACTGAACCTGATGCTATATTATCGTCTCTATCATCGTATTGGTATACTTATATAACACAACATGCGCATTTAAGCTTAAGAGACTGCCCCCCTCCTCGGGAATCGTTTTTCATTATTCGTGGACCGATTTGTCTGAAATTTTGAGGCAATGCATGTGTTGTATTAACTCAATTTCTTGTAAAATTTCGGCTCATAAATGTTTTTCTTTAAAGAGTTATTCACAAATTAGTCCCCAAAATGGTGGTGCTCGTAAGGTACCGATTTCTCGAACTGCCAAAGACGTAGAGAGCTACTTTTTTTTAAATGAAAGAAGAAACCTATGTCCAGAAATATACATACCAGTTTTTCGAAATTCGATTTTGTTCGGATTTCCGAGACATTCTACTGCAAAAACTTGGGATTCAGCGCTTTTTGACATCAGTGTTATCCAGTTATCTCGGCAAAGAAATCAAATTTCGAAAGAACGGTATGTACATTTCTAGACATAGGTTTCTTCTTTTATTAAAAAAAAGTAGCTCGCTAGCTCTTCTACAGTCTGAGAAATCGGTTTCGAACTCTCCAAAAAAGTGATTTTGAGAAAACGAATAAACAAGTTTGTGAGATGTATAAATGGATGTGAATGTAACAAAAGTAGTTAGTGTTATATATATTTGAAATCAGCGTAAAATTCTCTTTTTAACATTGCATAATTAAGTAAAATATTGAAGAATTTTTTATTTCATTTTATTTCACTATGACTGTCATGACCCCTATACTGCAATTTCGTCATGTATAAAGGACTCTAAGTAGAAACGACTACACGTATGAAAGACATGGCAGTGAGAATGTATATGATACTGCCCACACTATAGTAGTTCATTTTGATCAAGTTTCGTAAAAAAACATGGTTTTCGATCGTATAATTGTAATAATCATATGTGTTGAACTTCAAGTTTGAATATTTTCTCGATTTTAACTTTTAAACGTTATTATTGCTCATAGTGCTTGAATTTTTTTCGTATCTCTTTTAGATGCCACGTCGTCGGTCTCTTTTCGGCTCTACTATTCGATCTAAACTTTCTAAAACACTCGTTCATTCTCGTCCAAGTTCAACATCGAATAAAGAAAATGCATCACCGTCATCTTGTTTTTCTTCACTCTCGTCTAACAAAACTGGACCACTTATAACCCCGAAAACCTGCCGGTTGCCACTGTGTTCTCTTCAAATTACTCCTTCTTCACAACAACTAACTACTTGCTCTCAATCCTACACACCAAATTCCACTTACAAAATTCGAAATCATGTTGAGTCTTCATTCAAACGACTTCGACAATATGAAGAACAAGAACAGCATCAGTCGAACAAACCTGAAGCAACTTCTACGACAAAAGATTCTTTGGACTTTTACCAAATTATCCATAATGATTTCTTATTACAACTGACGAGGAGCCATGTCAATAAGAAAAAGAGAAGGTACATAAAAGAAGTATTGCAGTTTTCTCAAGGCTGATTCATCGTTTTTCAATTATCATTTCGCTGTTTTCTTTTAAACATAGAAAAATAATTGTTTATGCAGCCATTAGGCCATTTCAAATAACAAATGAATTAGATAAGTATAATTTTATCGTTCTTTTCTATCGCAAAAAGGTGCTGTGTGTTCCTCCAAGCAATGTGAAAAGTCAAAATTCAGAGATGTGAACGTCCGCTCTATAATTAGTATGCTCATAATGGTCGAGATATTTTCTCATAACTAAAAGAATTCTTTTCTCTTTTCTAAAGACGCACATTTAGTCGGCGTAGGGCACGCAGGCATGTTGAAACTGTGTGGAGCAATGAATTTACCGGCACCCGTTGACGAAGACGTAGATATTCATCAGATATCAAAAACTATGATTGTTATAAAAAGCCAGATGTTTTTTTTACCGTAGAAACGTTTATTGATTTATTTGCACAATAAGCAATGGAATGCTGTCTTTTCTTGCTCTTGCTATCACAGAGAGTATTTTCTAACTGTGTTCAGCAGATGCGCAATCGAAAATAACCTACAAATATTTGAAATGAACAAAAATGAATGTAAACTAACATTGAAAATCGCTTAAAACCTATTTTTTCTAGAAAAGGGTTCCAAAATCTGGCTTTTAAAACCCGCCATATGTCTCTAACTAATTAATATAACAGAACATATATGTGTTTCTCATTAGCAACCGTCCCCAAGCTTATTGACTACTGTCACATCCCGTAACTAAGGAAAATTTCTAAAAAAAACATTTTTACTACTGCTTCCAGAAAATCGCTATTTTCACCATCAAAAACCATTCAAAATGCGACAAATCGCACATAATCTGAAAGAGGACACTTTGGGCTCTCAGGGTATGTGCTTATCTCAAGATCAATTTTTGTGAAAAAAAAATCGATTTTCTGAGGGGGGAGCCCCTTAAGTGTATGAGTAAATCATTTTGATTTAGATCATCAATTTGAACATGATCAACAGACAAAAAATTTCGTTTTATTATATTAAAAATGAATCTTAAAAATTATGCACATGGATTCCTTGTCTAAATGATAATATATAGATGCAGCAAAAGAATTTATTTATTTTTTATTTTAAATTTAAGTTAAGCTTTCGGCGTAAAATTGTCATCATTAGAACTTTGAAATAAACGATCATCATGATTTCTAACATCATAATGAATTTGATCATCATGATCTAACATATAAAATTGAAAGTACCATGTTTTTTGTTGAAGCTGCTGTTGCATGTCATATTAAAAATTATGTACATTTTTTTTTCTTTAAAAGTTTAGTTTATTGGAATGGCCAATTCACCTCCTGGGTGATGACAGTCAAAAATAACAAGATTTTACAAACAGAGATAACGATACACAACAGAAAGAAGGCGAAGCAGCGTGATAAAAATATGTATCCGATTGTTGCTGCGACATGCAAGTGTATATATAAAATAGACGTTCGAATTGAGTGGCTGATAAATAGGTCACGAGAATGTAGATATGATAGAAGTGGAGGAAAGAAAGAAAGAGAGAGAGAATTAACGTAAGATGAACCAAAATTTCATATGCAATTTTCTCGTCATTCCATCCATGAAAAGTTACATCATTTGTCAAAGAAAGTTGCGTTGCTATTTTGCGTAAATGATACAATACGTTTGTTTGGTCTACCCTTTGGGAGGTTCTTGATGTATGCTTTTTCAAAATAATGACGATGTATATTGTTTATGGTGTTTTTATGTAATAAGACACGTTCTAACATTGTATGTTCAAATAGTTGAATGCTTTTTATTCTCTTTTGTAGACATCTTTGATATTTTTGTTTTAACGTTGGTAATTTTAATGCGTCGTGAATATCAATGGTAGACACTCGGTACGTACAATAGATTAACCTGAGGCAGCGTCTGTAGAAGGAGAGTGCCCGATTTTGATTGGTGATTGAAAACAAGCAAAAGATGAGGCCATATGTACGTTTGAAAGAAGCGCATTTTTAAAGTGAAATAAGCTGGAAATTCACAATGTATATATGTAAGTATAGTATATGATTTTCTTAATTTGATGAATTGGGCAGCAATCATACCTCGAAATGATAATTTAGAATCTAGGTGAAAGCCTAGGTATTTGAATGTCTTTTGCTGTTGAATGCATTGACCTTGATAAACAATTCGAATTTTGGGAACTTGGACTAACTTGTGATAAACAACAAATTCCATTTTATTTTTATTCACTGGTTGATGATTATTGTCAGCATACTGTTCTAGCTTTACCATGTCGTTGTTTATCCTTGTTTGAATTTCATCAGTTTGTTTGATATATTCCAGATAAATTGATGGTGAATATAGTAAAGCCAAGTCGTCGACATATAGATGAACTTTGCGTGTATATTCAAAAATTTGTGGTAGATCGAAAAGATTTACTATATATACTTTAGGCTCAAAGCATGAACCTTGTGGAGCACCTCTCGTGATTACAATTTGGTCTGATAAATGTCCTTGGTAATCAATAGTGGTTATTCTATCCTGAAAATAGTTAACAATCCAGAACAAATAAGCATAAGGACAGTGAAGATGTTGTAATTTTAAGATCAATCCTGGATGCCACAGCATATCAAATGCTTGTAGAAAATCGATGTATACAACCACAGAGAGCGAGTTGTGTCTTAGAGATTGTGTTAATTGTTCCATGAGATGATTGACTCTTGTTAATGTTGATAAGTGAGGTATTGATCCGGATTGTTGTGTAGACAAAACATTGTTCAACTCTAATCATTTATCAAATCTTAGTAAGAACAGTTTCTCGTAAATTTTGCTAACAGCAGAAAGAAGCGATATTGGTCGTAATTGGTTCGTTGTTGGGGCCGGGTTCTCTACTTTGTTAAGGCATATTGTTCTGGCTTGCTTCCACTTCTTGTCCCAGTGTGCACTTTTAAACATGTCATTGTATGCTAAGATGATAAGCGTTTAATAACACTCAGGTAATAATTAATTTAACCATCTTATTTGATACTTTATCGAAACCCGATGAATTCTTTGTGTTCATTTTTCTGATAATTAATTTGAGATCTTGAGCAGTAAACTTGAGGTCCGAATTTTCACATGCTAATTCAATATCTTTATGACTCGAGTTGGATAGTTCATTTCATAATTTGGAGGCTAATACGTCGGTTGAATTATTCATGTTTAATATAGGAGCTGTAAATCTGCTGGAGAAATGATCTTGTAGACAATTAACAATTTCTTCAGGTGTTGTGTGTATATTGCCATTTTCTGTAATGGTAGAAAAACTTGCTGTTCGTTTCTTATTAAGACATTTAACTGTTTTCCAGAAGTGAATTGGGTTTGGACATGCCACCTCAGATATGAAATTCATCCAATTGTTTTGCCGAAATGATTTTAGCTCATATTGTACCAACTTATTCCATGACCGTAATCTTATCCTAGCTTCTTCTAATTTGCTATGTCTGTATTTATTTTGTAGATAATGCTTGTATTTCAACATAAATCGTGAAGAAGAAGATAATGTTGGTCGTTGTTGTGCTGCCTGGTGATATAGTGTGACTCTTTCCTTAAGAGCTTCAAGTAGTTGTTGGGAAAATGTAAACCATTTGGATGGTTTATCTTGATATGTCTTTTCTTTTTCTTGTTGTACACATGGATTTATTATTGTTAATATATTCTTGTAGATTTACCAGTAAGTCTTTGAAATTGTGTAATTATTATCTTGTAGGCTGATGCCATTTAATTCCATCAGTATCGGTAAGTGATCGCTACCTGTGTAAGAAAGTGTTCCACAATGTGACAAGGAGATAGTTGGTGTTGTAAGAACAAGATCTATTGTGGTGTCTGATCTTAGTGATATTTTCATACCATGATTTTGAATTGCGTATTTATCACTATTTTCTAGCCATTCAACTAGCAATCTACCTTTATGATGCATTGAGGTGCATCCCCAATTTGGATGTTTTACATTAAGATCACCAACAATAATGACATTTTTCGATATTCGGTTTAATGATGACATGGTTTTTAAAGGTACTGGTTCATTAGGTGGTGAGTAGATTGAGGCTAAAACATATGTTTGATTTTTAACTATCACTTGAACTGCCACACAGTTTAATTGATGAATGTTTAAAGGAACAGCATTTAACTTTTTGTCCGCTGCCAAAACTGCACCACCATGTGAATTGGTACCTTTGCTCGTGAAAATATTATACGAGAACAGAAGTTGTTTTATTGTTTTGTCCGAGACTATTGTTCCTAATTTATTTAGAGAAATTACAGTTGGATTATGTTGTGAGATCATATCTAGCAGATCGCATTGATTCGGATGGAAATATCTAATATTGTAATGAAGAATTGTCATATTAGTTGTACCGAGGTCAGGTTTCCTTCTTTCTTGTAGCCACTTCTCTACTACTTCTTTCTTGTTCGTATTTGAATACCATTCGGATAACGTCGATAAACCTAAATTTAATTGGCATTATGACAAACCGGTTGATAGTTGTAAAAATTTTGTTTCTAGTATTATTTCTATAATTATTCACTGTCATTTTGTTGCATTGGAGTTGTTTGTCCTGATTTGTTGAATGATGATTGTGTCACTCGGCTACCACTTGGATTAGCATTTTCTTTGCTTAACTGGTTGTTATCTCTTTTAGTCAATAAATAGGTAATATCATTACTGTATTTTGTTAATTCATCAAGCGCTGATGTGTTTCGAGTGTTGTTAAAGGAACATTTATGTACCACTTTTATTACAGGTAAAATAGTTTCATAGATTACTGTTTCTAGTATGCTTGTGGTGAACTTGAGATTGTCTACTTTCTTCTCTATCATAGTAACTTGATTAATTAATCTTTCTTCTAATTGTTGAAGACGATATTCAATTTTTTTTGTAAATGCGGTTAATATGTTCTCCATAAAATTTGATTAATTATTACTTATATATGATATGTGTTGTTGTTGTTGTTGTTGTTGTCTTGACTGTAGGACTGACGCGTACGTGTAAGGTCGAGATTGAAACTCTTCGTGATGTTGTTGCTGTGTTGGTGATGATGGTAATGGTGGGAATGTTTGCTTGTTAAAAACATAACGAAGGTGTTGATCTTGTTCTTGATTTATTAATAATTGTGTTCCTTTTATCTTCTGGTTTTGGCCGATTTGTCGTCTAATTTGTTGCACTTCTGGACATGCTGAATGTCCTGCATAATGGTCTTGACCCAAGGGGGGGGGAAGCTTATTTCTATGTATTTCTGTATTTCTGAAATACACAGAAATTCATAGAAATACATAGAAATACACAGAAAGTATTTCGAAATAGATGGAAATACAGAAATACGCCTTTCCCCCCTTGTACGTGGCTCATGTGAGATCCGTGAATTAACTGAACTCCGAGTTTCGCAGGTCGGTATTCTTTCAATGGTTTTTAATCATTTCTTAAGTTCTGAAATCCTAAAAGGTTCAGCACTCATGGACTCCGAGCACGTCTAATCTATTGATGGCCTCTTAGAACCGTTTTCTATCATCTGTTTTCATTAAATTTAAAAACTTGCAAATTAACACAAATACAATAATAATGGTCATAAATTAAAATTTATTCTCCTATACAAACAAAACGACTACTACTATTCCAATAGTAGTATTCATCTAGATGGTACATAAAAGAAACATTTGAAAGTGTAAAAATAATATTCGAATCCATTTCAGTTGTTGAAATGTACTCTAGACATTGTGTTGTCCTTTTTTCTCTAGTTTAAGATGCAAAATATAGCATCCTACAATTAGTATTTAATGCATCTACTTGATTCTATCATTAAGCGAAATTTAGTCACCGGAACATTAATTTATGGACAACGTTTCTGTACTGAATATTTCAGTTAAATATGAACACACGGCAATCCATACCCAGAATAACATGAGTTTCATCTAGTGTTTTGACGATTTAAAAAATCTGACATTCTTTACTTGACATATTTTTGCTATTGATAACTTTTATTTTTTTTACACTTCTTTTATATACAAATCATCACTCCAATTAATTAAATTATTTATGAATTCCCATGTGGCGAATATCTGATCATTTTTTGCGGTAAACCGCGGTATTTATTCTTCCTGCAGTAAATTACACTGATATGGGAGCCGGTAAACCACCGATTTTCATGCGGTTTTTATGACATGGGCTGCCATTGGATTAATCAATATGAGTAGAGCTAATCATAATTTAATAGCAAAATACCTATTAACTACAATCTTAATTCGTTTAAAGCTTAATTGATATATTTTGTACTGTCCTATTCAGTTGGTACTCTTTTCACACATAATCAATTTGGTGCTCAAAACACATTTCTTCCAAAAATGGGTATGTCTCTACCATGAAATAACTTCTATTAGATCAAATAAATTAGTTCTCAGAATACTTTTATGTACTGATTGTTATTAACACGGCTAATACCTTGATCGAAATAAAAACAAATAGCAATGCTATGAATGCAATAGGCAACCTAAAAAATGAATAATTCAAAAATTGAATTCGTAATAATTGTTCAGCTATGATTAATACATTAATTTTTAGTATAACATATGAGCCAGCATGTGAAAAATAAAATATCTCCATATATAACTCATATGTATTTGTCAATAGTTCAACAGAGTTTGATCTTGACTTATTAGAATTATATTTCTAAGCAGTAATATAGAAGAAATTTGAGTGTTCCGCATAATCGCATCTCATCTGGACGAACACTGAAGCGTTAGTCTTTTATTTTTTATAAAAATCAAATTAATTTTCTCATTAAAGCTACTTTATCTGTAAACGACACATGCCAATTATGCAGGATGGCTTTTACTACAAATACTAGCATCAGAATTAATCAAGAGGAATATCTTTGATGCCGAGGGTGTAAGCAAAGGAGGATGTGACAACCCCACCCCTTTTGAAATCTTCCTTCAAAAATAGTAAAAATGCAACCGATATCTATATTTGGTCGTCCTGATTTGAGAGCTGAACTATCCACCGCGTTGGATACGTTGAAAGTTCTTCTGTTTATAGCAATTGAAAGAAAAGTATTGTTCTAACAGGAAATAGCACAAACTTCAGTCTTGATGAGTTCTGAAGCTCACTTGGTTCATTCGGATATAGTTCAGATTTTCGTCATTGACCTAAACATTAGTCATTGAATAAGTAAAAAACCATTAAATTCAATAGACATTCTTGAAAGCTTCTCAATATGAACAAAGGCTAGCATATTTTATTCTACACCTGAATTGAACTGAAATTGTGCATCAAGTGATGATGTGAGTAATATATCTTGAGAAACAAAAGTACGTAATAGAAGATTATGTAATCATTCTCATCATCGCATTAGAACATAAACTGTGATTTTAACCATTCATGAAATTCAAAATATAAAACTTACCATCTAAACATCTAATCGTTGTCTTATAGATAATATTTGGACAACAAAATTGAAGATGTCTTTATGCTATAAAACTGTTGGAATCAATTAGTTGATAAGATTGTATTCCTCTGTTCTAGGTGTTTCTCTTGTGGAAACTTTTGAAAAATTAATTAGTACAATTTTGAGCGAGCTGAATTCTTATGTTGTCTATAGTTGATAGATATTGATTATGATATGTGTATATTAAAAACAAAACAGTTGCGCTTACGAATTGGCATTATTTTCAAAGAACGATACATGAAATAATCAGCAGTGTTCAAGAACTGAGGATTAGGAATTCTTCCAATGCCTACAAACATCAGCTAAAATTATTCAGTTACTCGAGGAACTCCGAACTGATCATCAAACCCTTCAATCATCCTCCTTACTTCTGAAATACTTTCGCTTCAGCCACTGATATCACATGAATAGCACATCAGTTCCTAACACTGATTATCTATCAATTCTTCGCACCCTCATCAGAGAATCGATCGCCAACATTTCCTCTCAGGAGGAACCGTAGAAATAGTCAGGATTAACCATCAATACCCATCGAAGGAATTGACAGGACATTTACCAATCGTAAACGAAAAACAATAAAAGAAGCACAAATGAAAACTGCCCCTCTCCCTCCTCCAGCCACCCACACCCATATCCTTGTCTACCGTAATCTACTAGTCTGTTTTTGACGGCAAGCCTTCATGATTGTTTCTACTGTATTACAACGTTATGGAGAACTAATGCACTGAAAATGAAGTATCTGGTAATTCACAGCCATCATCTATGTCAATCACAATCGTTTGAGACAGTAGCATTGATAAACTATCCTATTTTCTTTTGAAACTATCATAAAATTTGAAGAAATTTCAGTTTGATTTAAGAATTCAAGAGTTGACAGTAGCTCTTTCACGATAATGCACACATGAATTAGAGAATTACATTGTTGATTATAAAACTTATCATCAGAAATGACTTGATTTCTGCTTTTGAGTGCTCGCGAGGATTGTTTGATTCGTTTTAAACATACATAACTCTCCAGCATGCATTAGTGGCGGAGCCAGAGGGGGAGCTTGGGGGAGCTGAGCTCCCTCTAGAAACTGTTGAGCTCCCTCTAGAAAATTTTGTCGCTATTTAGGCTGTTACTGTCAAATTATCTTTACTAAATAATTTCAATGCAAATACTAGAAGTTAGCATAGCCGTTTGCCTATTTTTAATCGACTAAGAACAACTTAGACCTTTTTTCTCTTCATTTTTTATGAGCAAGTCTTTCAATTTCAAGTAATTCTATCGATGCCAATTGTAAATCAAAAACCGTGATTAAAGATACTAAATTGTCAACTATAATGGATATACTTAATGAATTAAAACCAATGAAACAAGCATTTCCTTCAACTGTGGCTTTGATCAAAGGTGCTGTCACATTTCCTGTGTCGTCCGTCGTATGTGAAAGGGCGTTTTCCAGGATGAAATTAATTAAAAATTATGCTCGAAATTCGATGGGTGATGAAAGACTTAGTGATCTTAGTGTATTGGCTATTGAAAGAGATTTTGACATAGATTTTGAAAAGGTTATTGATGTATTTGCCATACAACATAAAAATAGTAGAATTTTGTTAATGTGATTAAGTGATATGAAATAAATTTAAATATAGAATCCCATTCATATGTTGATATAAACATAATGTTTATAAATATATGAGCAAGAACTGATTGAATAAGATATTAGGGGTCAGAAAACTGACTCAAACATGACAGTTTTCAAAAAACAATTTTACTATCGTAAGTAGACTTTGAATAGTTAAGATGGAGCTGAGCTCCCTCTAGACTGAAATCCTGGTTCCGCCACTATGAGTCACCACGAGACAATTGGTGGGAATTGCCACATCTGAAAATATTATTTGTGGTATATATCTATCTGTGTATGTACAAACGCCGCATCCAAAACATGCCTTTCTTTTCAAAAATTAGGCATTATTATTTATTGCCACGCCTCTCTATGAGACACTGGTCCGCCCATGATGCCTCTGTAATTTACAAAAGTGTAAAATTTGGAAAAAAATTGATTTTTTCCCTTGTAAAACTGATATTTTTTAATTATTGGGGAGGGGGCGGTCCGGACACCCCTGCCTGTAAAACATTCGAAGAATATAAAAGAATCACTAAGTCTCAAATCGATTTGTCTAAAAAACACAAAAAATTTACTAAAAAAAGCTTGTTTATTGCAATATTCTACTTCTTTTTTAAATTTTTATAGGAAATATTGGAGAAAAATGGGATTTTTTTTGAAACATAGGGCGAGTCCGAGGCCAAGTAACTTTTAATCATAATAGATAGTGGTTACACTTCTCTCCACACTATTTGATCTATTGTTTGATGCATCATTCACTCCATACTTATTTTTGTCACGGGCTTTCACTTTTCAGCAGTCATCCTCATATGAAAACTGTTTGAAAGAAGAAATCAAACCAATTTCCAGTTAAAAA